TTTCAAATTCCACACCTCTTTCTAACATTCCTTTGGAGCCTAATAAGAACTATCAGGCCCCTCAGCACCCTTGTCACTCACCTAATACTGATTTTAAGAATACGAATACTTACAACTTATATATAATACTTTTTGAGGAATTAATATATCAATAAAACATTTATTTTTTATTTTTATCATTTTATTAAGTAATCAAATTTTGTTTTATTATAGGAAAAAGGAAGATAATGCACACTTTTTTTAATATTAGATATTTTTATGATTTTTAAAATAAATAAGAATAATATGTCAACAAATATTTTTTCTCTCCCCTTCCTTCCAAAAAATGGCTAGAGGAAGTTCAGTTCACCTCTCTCCTTCGGTTAAAAAAAAAAAAAAAACAACCAAACATTACCTCACATATTTCGAGAGTGGGGAAGTCAATGTACGAAATTTTAGAGTTCTGAGGCTGAGTTCATTTTTCAGTTTTTTTCCTCAATTTCCTTAATTTATTTGATTTTTTTTAATCATAATTGGTGATTATACCACAGTGTGATATATGATTCTTTCAATTATGTGTTTCCAGAGATGCGGCTAAATAATTTTTAAGAACAATCATCCAAACAATTGTCAGAGAATCATCTAAACATGTTTTTTCCTCAAAACTTGTTTTAAAAAACAGTTTCATAAAATTGTTTTGAAGACAAAAAAAAAAACAGAAAACATAACCAAATAAGCCCCTAATTTATTTCTATTTTTTATATTTTTTATTTATGAATATTTTTTATTTTATTTTTTCAGTTATATCTATTGCTCATGCGTATGTTCCTATTAGTTATCGTTAAATCAATTTTTTGGATAATTTTGATGAATTGAGAGCTAAGAAAAATTTAAATCCAAAAGAGTAGATATAAATATTGAGGTTAAAAATAGTTCTAAAATATTTGTGGTGACTCTACACTCTAACTTCACAATTTAGTTAATCATTTCTAGCAACAATAGCAAGCTGCATAACTCAGATGGTGTCAAAGTTGGTGTCGGAGAGTCTTCAAATGAAGTTCTTCGATGCATCGCAGTTTGATTTCAATTATGAGTAAAGTCGGCTATGGTTTCCTCCGCTCAGACGAAGCATGTACTTGGCCTTGCCGGCTGGCAACATTATTGTATGAAAATGGGCTAGTCTACCTTTGATGGATTAGATCAAACCCATTAATTTTGAGACTCTAGTGCAAATAACAGGACATTCAGATTGGGAATTGCCATTTTCTTTTTTTTTGTTTAAACTGAAAATTGGAGGGAATGGTTAACATGAGTGGGGTATATGAAGGTAGTTTTTTTTCTTATTGCAATAAGAAAAACTGCAGCACATATTCCTCTCCTCCCTCTCTCAGTTGGCCTCCTCCCTTCAGTAACTATCTCTCCCTGTATGCATTTATTGTGAGACAACAGATCCGAGTTTACCAAAGTAACCAGACCTCTGCGTGGCTATCTGAATTTGATCTACTCTTTAAGTATGCCCGAAACCCTTTAATTATTTATTCTGGCAAACAGCTCTTCAAAATACTAGAGTGTTTGGAAGAAGAAACACCTAGTTAGTCTATCTAAGATCTTAGTCAGAAGTTACACTTGATGCTCAAATTTGCTACTCATGCTTCTTACAATGCAAATCTAAATCTAAAATATTTCAATAACTAAGATCAATTCTCCACACAAAAATGGAGCGAAGGTCTGCTTCAAATAGTTTAGTGCAATCCTAAGGATAGTGGGGGGAAAAAATCTAATCTTCTAATTGACATTGACCCAAAAAAAAAAACAAGAAGAAGAAAAAATAAGTGAACTTTTTCTGCGATGGAGTTAGATTTGATAGAAGCAGTCAACCAGGCCACTGATAATTAGGTTTTGCTTTTGAAATGGCAATTTTGTGCGGTTTAGGAATAAGAATGTCGTTTCAGGTTGCTCCAAAGCAATGAAGATTTTCTTGTTTTTGTCAATATGGAATCCGAATCTGATTCTGCTTGGACAATAGCAAGAGGAAGTTGTTGATTTACAGGTCTTATTCATGATCCTTCACTTCATTTTAAAGCTTAATATAAGGAATCCTGCATTCCTTCATATACATGGCTTGAATTGCCCAACTCAACTTTGAAAAGCATCCTTATTTTCAAAACTTGGCATATACTCCCTTTAGTTTTTAATATGAGAATTAGATCACTCATTTATAAAAATTAATAAAATTAGTTAAATTATTTACTAATTTCTTTAAATTACCTTCTTTAATAATTTGCATTAACATCATCTCATAATGAAAATTTGTTTAATATGTACAGTTAACAGAAATAGCAGACAAAGTGAATTTAAATTTTAAACTTAGAATAAAAGTAAGTATCTAAATAGTCCAGGATCAGAAGGAATACTATGTTTGGATCAATAGGGCTTGTTTTGCCGTCATTTTTTGGTGGAAATTTTTTTTTTAAAATCCATTTTTTGGGTCTAGGTCTCATTGTTTCTTGGCCAATAGATAAGCCTTGTTGATAAGTAATATACTCCTCATGTTCTTAATATAAAACCTAATTGTTAAGTTAATTTTGGTCATAAATATAAGATTTATTTTTCATATTTATCAATTTTTTCTAAATTACTCCTGTGGATACTCCCTCAACCATAAGCAAATAAGCAAGAGAGGGAGGATATTAAGAAAGATGATTATACTCCTCCGGTCCTTAATATAAGACCCATTTAACTAATTTGATTAGATTAAGAAAGTTAGGTAAGTTAGTTAATTATAAGAAAAATAACACATTTTTCCTAAAACACCATAATCATCTTTCTTAATACCTCATCTTCCTCTTCTACTTGACTATGGTTGAGAGGTATCCATAGGGGTAATTTAGAGAAAATTGATAAATATGAGAAATGGGTCTTATATTTAGGACCAAAACCAACTTAAGAATTGGGTCCTATATTAAGGACCGGAGGAGTAGTATTTTAGAAAGAGCATGTTATATTTCTTATAATTAATTAACTTATCTAACTTTCTTAATCTAATCAAATTAGTTGAATAAGTTTTATATTAAAGATCAGAGGAGTAACATTTCATGTGTAGCTAGAAGGCATTAATGAAGGACAACTCAGGGATTGTTCCCCCTCAAAAAAAGCCAAATATCACGTTTTAGCTTGTGGCAGCAGCATGGTAAATATATCTTTAGAACCTCTTGGCTAAAATTAAAATATAACTTAAATTTTTTTTAATAGTCTCCTGGACAGGTCATTTAACGCAGCCAACTCAATATTTAATCCCATCTAGATGTAAGAATCTTCCCAAAGAAAAAAAAAGAAAAAGATTAACCTCTGCAGCTTAGTAGCTCCAAATTAATAAAGCCGCGAGACTTGATTAGGATCTCTAACGTCAAAAGATTCTGAAACTAATGTTCCACATCAAAAAATTGTAAGACATAAAAAAAGATTAAGAAAACCGAGAATATGAAAGATTCCTGAATCATTAGAACACTTGGGTCCATTCACTTAGTAGACCTCATAATTCTAATCCCACCACTAGAGAGCGTGATTGTGGGAGGGTAGGGAATCACAACGATATGATGGATAAAAAACTAAAGAAATGCCTTTTTTTTCTTCCCCTTGTGTGATTTGCCACTGTTCACTTTAATTTTTCTGCCAGAAAAAAAAATGTAAAAGGCCTTAAAAGTTGAAAAAAAAATTACATGAAAAAGAGAGATTTTACATTTTTCTTCAAGCACTTATTCTATACAAGGCAAAATCATGTAAAATATTGATATGATCAAAAGCTTAAGAGTCATTTTTGTGCTAAAAGTATTTATAGTAGGACTGTGAGTATTCGAAAAAATTTTTATGACTCCATATAACCTCATAGGTGTTAAAGAAAACATTTTCAAAACAACGTTGAGACAACAAAAATTTTCAAATACCCACAACTTCTTCGTAAATACTTTTCAAGTAAAAATGACCCGTAATCTTGAGATAATAACAAGAGTCGGATCCAGATCCGAGATGAACAATTCAGATCCAGATAAGAACTAGTGAAGGACGTGAAGAGAGCGAAATAAGCGTTTGATAAGGGCAGCTTTAGGGAAAGGGGAGCGAGTGATCGGAGCTAATTGGCGGTGGCGCATCACTTCAGCAACAGTGGGCAATCTGAAAGTAAGAGTCACCTTCTTTTCCAACACGTTCACTTCCAATGATTCTGTCTCTGCTGATCCATTTCATCCAAGATTTTGGCTTGTTTTAGAATCGAATATCACTCTCATCATAAAATCATCTATCATAAGACTATATAACATTTATCTTATATAAATTTAATTATGTAAACTATATTTTTTAAAAAATCTAGATCGGTACCAATCAAGAGATAAGCATTCTCATGAGCATAAAGATGAGAAAAGAATTCAATCTCTGCATTAAGTGATTGGATAATTTTTTTCCCAAAAAAAATGAAATTTTTAAATGTTTCAGCTCTAAATTAGTTGACTTTTTAATTTTTTTTTTCAATGCCTATGAAAGTATATAAATTTAATTACGTAAATTTAGTCCCTATAAATATAGATATATATTCACCAAACCCAAAATGACAACCTCAGGTATTTTCCTAGGGAATTATTGAGACATTGAGTTAGGTGATTGATTTGCAATGCATAACACTAATATAGTAATATCGACATTTAAATTCTTTAATAGTTAACACTTGACAGGCCAGCTAATTTCATTAATATAACTATACTAATTAACAAAACTAACTCCAAATCTTATAAGACAAAAAGATCTCCTTTAATTTGGTGATAAAAAAAACAAACAAACTTTCTGACGGTATTTGTTGTTTCTTGTGATTCTATAGGACAAATAAGATGCAAGCCAGCTACTTATAAACTAAGAGGAGGCTCAAAGTCATTAGAAAGTGACAAAGGATTTTTTTTTTGGCACTGAAACTTTTGGCATATTTGGTAGAATGAGTTAAAAAGACAAGAGAATATCTGAATGGATCAGAAGATAATAATCATAATTACAATTATAAATTAACATATTATTCCAAAACCTAAGCCATTGCCAGCCTATTTAATGGTGACGAGTAATAAGAATCACATGGTTTGAACTGTTCTCTACTTCCCTTCCTCTTTAGGTTATTTCAAGAACAGGTTTAGTTTTATGTAACTTAAAAGACATTCTCATTACCCATAATACTTTTAAAAAAAATGTTTCTTTGAGCCTTCAAAACCAATCATATACGTAACAAATAAATTAATTGAAACTGATGTTTTAGTATATTCCTGAAATTTCCCAGCAATGAGATTTAGTTCTGGGCAAAACCCAGAGGATATTATATTGACTTAACCAGTTTGAATGTAACATAGAAATGGTTGCAACAAAATCTGAAAATGCTAATCCTCTGATACTAAATTCTGAACCAAATCAGTAAACCGAAACTGGAAGGTGATATGTAACCAAAGAAAAAAAGGAAGTGAATGTACCGTTCATTTTGGTGATAATGTCAGAAACTCTCTTCTGGCAGTTCTTACATTGCATATCAGCAAAAACAACAACCTCCTGAACCTGTTTTTTTCACCAGAAAAATCCAAACCCATCATCATCATCATCTTCTTCAACCTCCAAATCACACACAGACCCAGAAATATCTGATCATCAGAAAAAAGAACAAGTAAGAAACAGAACGTACTATTGGCAGAGACAAGGACTCCATAGAAGCCAAGGTAGCTCGAGAAATAGAAAACCCATTTGAGATTTTTATAGTACTAACTTCATCTTCTTGCTTCTCAGGTCCGTCGTCAAAATCCATACCTGTAAAAAAGAGAATCCGTACACAACCACCAGAAAAGAGGCCTCACTTTATGATAACTTTATTAAGATGCCAAGTTCCTCCAATCCCATGACGAAGAAAACGATGGATAAACAGCTAGATTCTTCTGTACCGATAGAGCAATCCCATCTCCATGAAAGCTTCTTGCAGTAGCTTCAGGAGGAGGAGAGTTGGTAAAGTGAAAGATGGGTCTGCGCCTAAGTTGAAAAGGATGGTTCTTTATTTAATTGCAACCCCACAAAGTGCTTGCTTGAGTTAATTTGGGACTTTTTCAACACAAGAATGATTCCCTTCCGAGGTTGCTTCTCAGATCAGGCATTAGAATTACTGAAGTTATTAATGTATTTAAGTTAACTAAGTTAATGGAGGAAACTTTTACATTGCAGCTTCAGATTAGCCGCAAAAAGCCAAGCATCTACCTCTTTGTGAGAATGGATTCCCGTTTTGTAGAGAAAGTGAGAAATAAACGAGTGGGGCTCACTCACATGGGTCCCCATACAGGAAAAATAGGATAATTGAGATAATAGACTAGTGTATTCTTTTCAACAAAATGACTTTTGTTTTTACGCTCTGCTAAAAAGGATCTTTTTTTTTGGCTTGATTTGACTTGGTCACTATAAAAAAAAAATTAAACAAAGAGAATCGTTAATTAACGTGGGAAAATAGATTTAAGAAAATGTATTTGGTGTGCAGAATCCAACCATCAAATAAAAATATAAAATATTAAAGTAGCAATATGAAGAGTTGGTAAGCCTCATTTTTCAGTACATTTCATTGTTCACATTTCTTGAGCAAGTAATTAGAAGTTATCTTTTGTGTATAAAGCAAATTTACTCTCTATACGAAAGACAAAGTAGGGGAAAAATGAATAGGGAGGAGAGAGAGATATGTATCCGTTAGAAGATGATAAACATATGACGTACGTAGTGGATCCAAGCTGGAGATTAACAGCTCCTTCCGGAGGGACACAAGTCAAACATAAAAGCTCTTTAATTTCTTTGGCTTATTTTCGTTGGGGTCATTTTTTGGCATTAATATTCCACTTTTATTATTGGCAAATAAAAATATTCCACTTTTATCGCTCCAGTCGTAATCCTATGCATACTAATCAAACTCTACCCCTTTGATGTACACCTCATGATGATCATCTTATACTATCTCCGGTCTTTAATATAAAATCTTGTTTAACGCTTATTTTGATCCTAAATATAAAACCTCAATCTACTTTTTCTCTCATATTTATATTCTTTTCAAAGTAATCCTTCTAACAATGATAGTTCTAGCCAATACACTTGACTAACAAGGATATTTTAGGAAAGACAACACATATTTAGGACAAATAACTAACTCAACTTACTTCTTTAATCTCCTTAAATTAGTCAACTAGCTCTTATAATTAGAACCGGAGGTAGTATTTTTTTTTTTTCCTGTAATTTAGTCAAATACCAACCGCCCTCTACTTGCGTAGCCTCTTACATTGACTATTTGACGAGTCTTTGTTAATTTTCATGTTCATCTTATAATTTTTTTGCAACTAGAAGGGCATATGTATTTATATATAATTATATATAGATGAGTCATACTATGTGTGGCTTCTAAATCGTGTGGCTTCTTGTAACTTCTATAAATACATTCATGATATCGATATTAATGATTTATAAAGATATATGACTGGTGACGAATGCTGAAGGCATTTTTAATTACTAACATATAAATATTGCGTTTTATTGTCATAGCAATTTTTTTAAAAAAAAATTCTAAAAAAATGAGTCTGAGTATAATCATTAACAAAATCTAGAATTTTTTTTTTCCACTGCACCATTTGACGATCTGTTTTCATTTGAGGTTTGCGGTTTGTTTGGAATGACGATTAAAACTTTCAAAAACATCATAATTTATAAAATTCAGCATAAGTATATGAAAAAAATTATATGCTGACTTATATCAAAATAATTACACGCTCCAAATGAAGAGATCACAAGCGCGTGCATATAACCCCTCAATTAGTTTATTGCTGAATGTTTATTTCCTCAAATATAACCAATTAAAGACACCGCATTATGGATGGGGGGGGGGGAGAGAAGATTCTGAAAACAAAAAATGGGGGCAAAATAGCCATTTCATTCATTTACGAGATTGAACCAAAAGCCAAAATCTCCGTAAGTCCGTATGGATGTTAACTGGATCAAATTATCTAATTTTTAAAATTCTTTTAGTAAGAAAAGAAGACAATCAAAATATTTGAGGAAAGTTTATAAAAAATAAATTATAAATTGAATTAAAATACAAAATAAAAATATACGCATCACATAAAATGAAAAAGGTATGAGGATAATGTTCACAAACTGAGAAAAACACATAATATTCTCAATTCAAGAATCTCTCGTCAAAGACGCACTCATACTCTCACTTAACCGAGATTTTCCAGCAAATACAGAGTCAACGGTATTCTGTAATCCACATCTTGATAATAGATTACAATTGGGATTGAGTGGCAAATATATAGAACTGAAATGAAAATTCCCCCCCGGGGGGGGGGGGGGACGAAAGAACTTAAGAATATAAATACGAAGGAAGAGAAACAAAATACAAGGGGCAATGTCTCTGTTGTTGTTATTAGATATGGTTAGGAAACAAATTGCACTGCAGCATATCAAAACCTAAGTCACTCTCATACAACCACGGTTATTCCACTACGCCTAAAACTCTGGGCCAAAACTTCCAAGGCATCATCCTTGCCTCCCTCGGGCTTCCACATTCCATACAAGCACCAAAATCAACTGAAGCTTCGATGCCAAAAGATTACCCAAAATAAATAACAAAAGCTCAACCTAACATGTAAAGAGCAGACATGCATCGAACAGATGCAGAGGAGGGTATGTATTATGTATGTACTTCTCGAAGGGTGAAAAAGAGGGGGAAACCAAGGAGACTAACTAAACAAACTAGTGCATAAAAATCACGTCACCTACACATGACCAAGTTAGTTAAAGAGGGCACCACTGAAGAGCTGAAAATGGCTTGATCGCCCCTGCCGTATTTGCAGTCATCATGATCAACCACTTTCAAGGATGCTGCGATCATATAACTGTCCGAAGCATGGGGATCTGAGGAATCCGGGACTTTCTGCAGTTGTTTCGACCTGATCCGTGCTGCTGCTGCGGCCCCTCTTCCTAGATGACTTCCATCTTAACTGAGAAAGAAGATTATCCTTTGAAAGGTCTGGAATCAGCTCCGGCTTTCTTGATTTATCACTTTCAGGATTCAGGCTAGTATTATTCACCCTTTGCTTTGAAAGCACAGCATCTCCGGCACATGCGGCTGCAGCAGATTTGCTGGGATCTTGTGATGTTTTTAAGCTGGATAATATAGAACTTACAAGGTCAGGCCTTTCCCTTACTCGCACCCACCCACTCCCTGTCCATTCCTGAGCCCGCCTTAACTCACCAGATCCCAATATTAATACAAACTTCTCCCCTGCAACAATGTGACAATGAAGAAAAGTTAAAAGAATAGCACCAACAATACAAAAGGTAGTTACGGGGAACTAAGATTAATGACAATTGATGAGAGATAAGTGAAAAAATGTTAGCTGTACCTGGGAAATAAACATGACACGTAGCTTCAGACTCCTTCTGAACAACGATGCCTTCCCACCAACCATCATGCCTCCAGACATCCACAATAGAACCAACATTAACCACCCCAGAAAATTTGCACAGACTAGACTGAGGAGCAGGTCGAATTGTAGTCCGTCCATTCAAGCGGAGATCCAAGTGGTCACGCGCTGCAATTCTGGAAGCTGAAACCCATTCCTGAATGATAAAGGAACAAAGAGGAAAAATAAAAAAAAGTTAAACTCAACGCAACCAAACAGTTATTCTTACAAAATTATATGAAGTCAATGGTCATGGAAGATACCTCAAGCTTCCTAGCTTCATCAGCTGCATCCTGAATGTCTTGATACTGCAACTTCACCTTATTTTTGTGCTTCTTTATGATCGAAGCTCTAAACCAACAGCCTCTGATGCCACTGTCCTGAGAGAGGATCTCAACCTGAGAACCTACTGCTAAGTATTGTAAAGCGTTTTCTTTTGCCTCTTTGCTGGCTGTGGAGCCAACAGGTCTTAAGGAATTGTTTCCAACCTTTCTTTTAGTTTCATTTCCACTATCATTCAGACATCCCGTTTCAATAGCTCCTTCACCATCAACTTTTGCCCAGCGCAGCCTCTTCTTAGGTCTAATTCCGGTTGTAAACTGGAGGTCCTCTTCTTCCAGTTTGTCATCAGATTGCGGAGAACTTCCATTAGATTTTGCGTCAGAAAGGGTATACATGTATCTGAGAATTTCCTGCCTCCAGTAACCTTTAACTTGAGTAATATCAAAGTGCTTAACATCTTCATTGTCAAATTGATTGTCGCAGACAAACGGTTCTAACATTGTATGCCTTGCCTCATTCTGAAACTTTTCGTAATGCTGGGGACTGAGTACCGTAGCCAACCCATCTATGCAATCGATGCTCAGATCTTGAAGACAAAGAGAAAAGAAAATCTCTCTGTCACTAAAACTGTGAGGCAAAAAACTACCAACCTCATCAATTTTGTGAAACCAGCGTACCATAGCCATCTTATTGCCTCTGGAGTCCTCATACATGTCTTCCAAATAGGCAACGAGACGCTTATCTTCTTCTGCTAAAACAGATACGAAATCATAAACCTGAAAATTTTTGAAAAGGCAAGGGAAATGAGAATTGAGAAGGGATAACGAGAGTCAGACCATATATTTTGCGTGGACAATGGAAGGAGATGAAATCGTAAATTAAAAAAGAAGATGATTACTTACAGATATCTTTAAACCATTCCATATAAATGACTTATAGTGCTTTCTTCGTTTCCTACATGTCCACGAAGACCCTAACCATGAAAATTCTTTTGTGCAATGGCCCAGCCTCCGCAATTGATTATCCTGAAAACACAAAGAAGAAGATGAGAAAGGGAAATAAAACAACCATAAGTTCAATAGACATCAAAATCAAGAAGTTCACAAGAAGAGGTTACGGGGATCATTGTAGATTGGCGTAATCAAATAATATTCAAATGTTTTGAATACCTTCACGGCTACCATGTCATGTCCAGTGCTACCTTTTTGTTCCCTGATGGACACAACCTCGCGTTGTGAATCTGAAAAAT